TCAAATTCGCGATTCAATAAATTGATCAAGTGGTTTTGCGGGGATCGTCACAGGGCCAGGGACCGAGTACAAGCGGAGTACGAATTATCCCATATTCCATATTCCATCCGAATCTCATTTCTGGGAGGAGTTTGCGGCCCCTGGTTTACAGGTAAAATTTAGCAGGGCCAGATTCGAATCTCAACCGCATGTCGGGCGCGTTATGATATCGGTCTGGAATGTGAGGAGGGCGTCCGTTCATGCAGAGCATCGTCCAGTAAGACACGAGGAAAATATGGGGAGGAAATCAAACCGCTCCTGTCGCCTGTCACTTTAAGTCTCGTTGGTTGTCCCAGCCTCCTGGTTTCTGGGACATCGCAGGAACTATCCGTTGAGCAAAGAAACCTTGTTGGAGACAGCCCGTGTGTGGGATCCACGTCATTTACATTAGAAAAGTCTATATCGACATCGACATCGATATTGGCAACACCTTGGGTGATCGAGTCAGGGCGCACAAATAATTGACGCTGCGCTTCATTCAACACCCCGTTCTCCGTAGTCTTTCCGCTCTATACCCAAGAAAACGATACCCAAATTTGACAAACATTCGGTCATGTCTTTCCAATTTCCCTAGCGCAGGACTACTTTTCGTACCATGGTCCGGCCTGTCACAAATACCTCAATTGATGTTGGGTTCTCCGTACTCCGTACATATCAAATACTTGCAAACATTTCTTTGTTTCAGAAAGCATACAGATCGTGGAATTCGTATTTTTGGGGTTGGCAATGCAGGCGGATGTTTGCTCCATCCCGAGCACCTGGACAGGACAAACAACCGATCTGGAATCAACGTCATCTGGTGACCAATCAGCCCATGACATGGCTCAAGTGCGACCGTGACAAACGGCCAGTGGTGGTGGAATATTTGCAAGGTGTTGGTGCCTAAATGAGGTCATTGGGCGACCCATCACTGGAATCATCTGAGAGAGATGGTAGGTTAGCCTGAAGGGTTTTCGAGTCAGTCTTGTTATAATCAATGATCTACAAAGTGACTTTACTCTGGGGTTGTACTCCGTGGTCCCTTTCAGCATAGATAAGACCCTGCTAGGGAATCGATGGATTGCGATTAAATAATATTTTTCAATGGCTGACTGCCCAGGTGATTTTATGCCGCCCCGAGTAGTTCATAATATGGATGCAATACTACCCGTTGACAGCCACATGCACACGCCATCCTTGAAAGCGCCACTAACAGCTTGATGCATATTAATTTCCCATGACCCAGCATAAAATAAGCAACGTTGTTGGATGAAACTTTGCCAATTGAAAAAGGAGGAGAAAAAAAAGCAACCATCAAGAAGCAATCCGTTCCTTCAATTACCGAACGCCCAGTTTTGAGAAAAACAAGCCGAAAACAAACTATCAAATTCACTAAACCACGATCCACTGCTTGTGATGACCTCTCAAATTGGGTCGACACCTGCATGTGAGCCGGTATCACCATTGGCCTGATAGCACGCCTCGTCCCTGATGGCCCCATTGTGCCCCCGATATGGTGAAGCGCGGATCCCGTGGCAGCCGATGACAGACCAGGAGATATTCCTATATAGGTACTCACAGCCCTGGACTCCGTACGGAGTAGCTAACTACGTGATATCAAGAACAAGCAAAAATGTTGATGCGCAATGACTTGCTCGGCTTTAATCGGTGTCGGGGACTGGCGGTTATCTCGATCTGCTGACAGGTCGACAGATGCTGGGATGATCCTGGCTTATTCCTTGTCTCTGCGTAGTCTTCGGGTCGCCGAGCATTTGCGTGGCCAGGATGTCGCAGTCTTCAATCTCATTTTAGATCACACTAGAGATCATACTAGCACTAGTCAGTTCACGAGCATCACCTCTGCACTCTCCAGGGTTGGTTTCGTCGTTTTCAATGGATGGAACCCCTATTTCCCAACGTTACTAGTAGTACGGAGTACTATGCATAATATAACCATATACAGAACCATAGTATAACTTCCAGGTTTGCCCACCTGGGCAAGTGATTTCTAATGAGTCTTTCCGAATCGAGATTCCAAGATTGTCTTCGCCTAGTAACAGTTGCATCGATCGGGGAGACTAGTAGTACCTACCTAGGTACAAGACAGATATTTTACATCTACAAACGGCACTAGTATCACCTCATGCCAATAGTTGTGAGCCAGCTCAGAAATTAAAAATTGACTAGGTTGTTCAAATTGCATTGCACCTCTAACTTGAAGCCGAGTACGCAGTTCAAGCAGTATGACAGGTATCCGTAGTAACTTTGGAGTCTGCAGTCCGTAAGCATCTAGATAAATAGGTATTGCAGAAATTGAATCGGCTGGCGTACATGCGCAGGTGGTTACCTCCTGCGAAGTCTGTGAGCGAGAGGGAGAGCTTCTACCGGGAGTATTGTCGGGAGCAGATGCAGCTAGGAGTATCCGGACTAGTAGCACTGGTTTCAGCTCGCTTTGTCGAATATGAGATCGCATGCCAGTGCTGTACTCTCTTCTGAATCCGCACTAGGTACAGACGAGATGGGTTGTTATATGTAGAGGAAAAGCCGCTTGGACGGCATGACGCTGTCTGTGGCTTGATGTGTGTCTGGTTGTCAGACTCTCTTCATCCAATGGAAATCAACGCATAGCGAGTACTGTTCTGACTATGTATTAAGTTACTCCGTACACTGTCAGTTCATGCCGGGTCTCATGAAGCTGGCTGGCTGAGCACCCGGAAAAGCTTATAGACACGTACCATCCATTTGCCCCTACCGGGCGTGCTTCCTATCCTCCCATCTCGCCCACGCAGGGGGGATTGGATATGACTATAATATTAGTATATTACCAACTGTAGATCGGGACTTCAGCCATCAATTTGAAATCGAGAACAAAAATATGCCCTGATAAGAACCAGACAGTTTTGCTTTAAAGAAAGATTCAAGCATTTTGATTTCCTCTCATCCGCTACTATAAAAGATCTATTTAGCAAGGGTGTTACCCAGCTCCGCCGCCCGATCAGTCGCAGACTTAACAGCCTTATCCACAATCTCCTTGAAACCCTCCTTCTCAAAGGTCTGCAAAGCCGCAAAAGTCGTCCCGTTGGGACTGGTCACGTTCTTCCGTAATTGACCGGGCTCCTCGTCGGAGGTAACCAGCATCTTGCCGGCGCCGAGACAAGTCTGCGTCGCGAGGCGGGTAGCCTGTTCCTTTGAGAGACCGAGGGCAGTGGCGCTTGCGACGAGGTGCTCGACCATAGCGAAGAAGTATGCGGGGCCGGATCCTGTTTGCAGATTGAATTGTTAGCACGAGTAGAAGCAGCAGTGAAAGGGAGTAGAGGTGTAAGTGAAACCCACCAGACAACCCAGTAACAACGTCCAACAATTCCTCCTTATCAACCCACTCCGTCGCCTTGCTAACACTGCCCAACAACTCATTGACAAGGTCCTTCTCCTCGGCAGAGACATCGGCAGAAGCAAATGCGCCCGAGGCACCCTCAGCCACGAGAGCGGGGGTATTCGGCATGACGCGAACGACATGAGGACGGCGACCATCGGGAGTAGTCGACCACTCCTGCAACGAGGAGAGGGTGATACCCGCGGCAATGCTGACGATAACGGGAAGCGACTGACGATCAGCCCAGCTCTTAGCTAGCTCTTCACAGACGCCCTTGGTGACTTGTGGCTTGACGGCGATGATGATTAGGTCTGCGCTTCCGCCTGCGACGACGTTGTCTGTTGTTGTGTTCACGCCTGTTGCGGCCAGCTTGTTGCGGTTCACTTCCCAGGGCTCGGAGACGGTGATGTTGGACTTTGGCACGGAGTTGGAGAGCAGGCCGCCGATAATGGCGGAGGCCATGTTGCCGCCGCCGATGAAGGCGAGGGTGCTTTGTTGGAGGGCAGGCATTGTGAGGGTTTGCTTTCGGTTTTCGTGGGAGGTGGAGAGGTTGTCAAGGGTTATGATTCTCTGATGCGGCGCAAGTTGATTTCCCCCACTTTCAATCGAGTTGGGCTTATCGGTGGGGCGAGAATAGCGTTGGAGGGGTTGACCTTGAATGTTGACAGTTGACAGTTGACAGACCGCCCGCGATATCGGAAGGGGAGTAAGTAAGCTGATGTCTGGGAGCTTCAATTGGTACAATTGAATAGGAAGTGATTTAAATTAGAAGAAATTGAGCAAACCATTGGCTACTTCTCCGGTTTTATACAACTCCACGTGACTCATACTAAATGCCCGACATCGCGCACCGGCCCGGTCAACCGGCTTGCGCTCGTAGAATTTCCCCATGCGAAGTGCGGGGGCCAGGGACCGGGGTTGGATGATCTCATGCCCTACTGTGGGGTAGATGGAGGGGCAATGTGAAGATTGAAATAAGGCTGGGGTTGGGTGATTTGGAGGGAGAGTACTAGGAGAGTAGGTGCCTGCCCGGTACCGTTGTCCCTAAAGTTGATAAATGTTCAACACTCAACAATTTGAACATCGACATGCATGGGACGTAGAGTATGTAGTCCTATAATCCAAATGAAACAAATGAAAGCATATGTAAGACTTCTTTGATATTCGGGCTTCTAGTATAAAATAATGAAAACCGGGGTGCAGAAACAGAGACCGAAACTGAAAGGTTGATACTTGCAGAACAAGAACCGCAGGCAGAGACGACCAAGGCAAGAGATAAAGAAGTTCAAGAAAATTTGTTAAAAAGAGAAAGCCGACCCGCTAAAATACACGAAGAAAGGGTTGGTGAGACAGGGAACCTATCAAAGATTGGTTCGGTTTCCCTTTGCTGGACCGGCCACCGTGATCACCGAGAGAAATGGATAGATGAGGCCATGGGAAATGCAATGCAGAAAGTCAAAGTGAAGGAAGCGTCGAAAAGGGATCGAATTATGTACATCGTATTTGCGAATGATGGATGAGTGAACGGCAGCCTAGGGTCAAAAGATTGACGCGCAGGAACCGATGAGGTAAAAGGTACACTTTGGCTCCAGTGTGGACCAAATAAAGATTACCAGGTTTCCTAGAAAGGAAGTTAGTTGAGCAATTCTGGATAGACAGATCCATGGCGGAAAACTTACAGCAATGTACTGGCCAGCCTCCTTCTTTCGCTGCCAGAAGAGAGTTGCCTCCTCGGAGTTGAGATTGCCCTTAGCCATGGCAACTTCGACGAGAGCAGCTTCAACACCTTCACCCATTCCCTTGCCGCTACCGCAGACAAAGACACGGCCATCAAGCGCATTGATGACGTACCAGACAAGGTCAGCCTGGTGACGAACTTCCTCCTGAACGTAGCGGCTCTCGCCACGACGGCTCTGAACCACAGTGCGAACCTTGTCCTCATGCACACCCCACTCACCACTGTAGAGCTCGTCGAGAAGAGAATCACGGACACCCTGGAGGACCCAGACCTTGTTGGCGCAGTTGGCCGACTGCAAACGTCGCTGAACAAAACCGCGGAAGGGTGCAATGCCGACACCAGCGCCGATGAGGAGCATGGGTCCGTCAGAAGCGAAGCGCGTGGCAAGCGGGTTGGCCATGAGACCACGGAACATGGGGATGTGGATGTCAACCTTCTCGCCCCGAGCTTGGGCAGCAATGGCCTTACGTGCAAGACTCTCGAGGTATCCAGATCCAACGCCGGTGCGAGTACCGTTACGCCAGTCATCAGACTCGGCGACGGTGACTGCAACTTCGACGAGACGACGGCATTCGGTGCCCTTGAATTGGCAGGAAATCATGGGATCTTGGGACAAAGAGTAAAAACGGGGCATCAAAGTGTTCAGGACAGAGAGAATGTGGTCGAGGGGGGGGTTGAGAGGAAGGGAAGGCGTGGAGAAGCTGAGACAAGCTGATGTGGGAGCTGGTGCGTAGTTCGCAGAAGGCACCTTGACCTTGGGCCGAGGCGAGGTATTCGAGAATCTTCCTCTCATTCTCCTCGTAGGTGTATTCAGCCAGAGTGCGGAAGAGCGCCTTGGTTGGGGCGTAACTCTGAATATCAGAGCACCAGCTCAGGACCTCACGACGAGAGGTGATCAGCTCGCGAGGCTTATCGTCGCCCCAGATGGTGGGCCAGCGGCCCTTGGTGGTCCGCATGAGAACCTTCTTGTCACGCATGGACTTGGGGACGCCAAGGAGGTTGAGAATGTCCTCCACCTCCTCATCCTTGTTCTTTGGGCAAACGCCGATGGCACCACCCACGACGAAATCGACCATGCCGCTCTCGGCGGGGTAGTCGGTGACATCGATGTCGAAGTGGTAAGTACGCTTCTCAGCCCCACCCTTGGTGAGCTCACGGGTGTGGTGGAGAGGAGCGCGGTACACCTCATAGGGAGGATGGGGTTGTACGAAGCGTGGGGGGTGATCGGAGGGGCCCAGTTGAATGTCGTCGGCGTGAGCGGGGGCGGGGGAGAAGGATACGGTTTTTTCCGGGAGCGGGGCAAGGTTGGAGAGTTCGCTATCCAAGGTGAGGAGATCGACATTGAGACCAAGACTCTCGAAAGCGTCATTATCTGGTGCGGTGATGGAATTGAAGCCTGAGATTGGACCGTCCAGAGGTTGGAGGGGGCGACCCCGGCAGCAACCCCCACCACAGCACATGGACTCGATTTTCTGGGTACCGCCTGTGCCAACATTCTCCAACACCCGTCGCATATCATCCGAGTTCTGGGAAATCAGGATGGTCGAGGCGCGACGAGCGCGACCGGTGGGTTTGCCAGCATTATCTTCCGAAATTGATAGGGTCTGCAGGTCGGGAGGAGTGATTGGGGTGGCGGGGGAATCGTTGCCGCTGGATTCAGTCTCTTGGGAGGAAGCAGGCGAGCCATTGAAATTGAAATCGGTGATTGAAAGGGAACGAACGCCTCGAGGCTCTTCGGGAATAGGATTATCGGGGTGGGAGGTGGAGGACACGGGGATTTCCTGAAAAGTGCCCTTGCGGGGGCGGGCCACCGTCGAGGAGGGCATGACGATGGCTGGCTCGGTGGCGTGGACTATGGCGAGTGGAAGAGGTAAGAAGGATTGACCACTTTAAGAGGGCGAGGAGAGGTTGCAATGTTGGGGGTTGGGATTGGGATTGGGGAAGAGGAAGGGGAGAGATTTCACACGTACCCATGTTGGACGGAAGCGAAGAACCGAGGGCCGGTGGAGTCGCGGGTCTCGCCGCGATGGAAGATAAGGGTAGAGGAGGATAGAGGAGGAGAAAGAGAGGTGGTGTGGTTCAAGGAGTCGTAGATTATTAGAATGGAGAACGGATAGATAATATTCGAAAAGAGCCAAAGGATTGTATTGGAAATACTGGAAGTAATAAGGATAAGGAGACTCGGCAGGTGGAAAAGGCAAGTGGGAAAAGGAAAAGAGAAGAGGCGGAAGTGCACGCCAAATCTGGTCCGGGAATTATCTGATTTTGCCACATTCAAAACTAAAACATTCACAGGTCGGAAATCGGGACTTGATTACTGGATATAGGACTATTTGACACGGCCCCAGATCGACCGTGCATGTACACTAGTACTTTACAGTGATTCCGTAATTTTGTGTGCCCCAGGGTGGGTTCTATCTGTTCTGGCTGCTTCTGGGTTATTATACCTAGACCGGTATCGGAATGAGCTATCCTAGCATCATAATCATAATCATACAGGTAATAGTAATGCTATAGAGTGCTATCTACTCACTATCGTCAATAATATGACAACATGCCTCGTAACAAAACAATAATACTTTACAAAGTACGGAGTAAATCAGGATGATCCCACTCATCCCATCTGAAGCCGACTTCCGGAGTGGGCCGACCGATTCCGTTATCAATCAATCTGATAATCATTGGCTCACTGCCTCATCCCTGCCTCAGTCTGCCCACTCTTTGTACACTCCATATGGAGTACTTTATGATCCCCCCCCCCTTTTCCTCATTGAATTCCTCCACTCTCCTTCGCCCGCTGTGCCCACCATGCCCACTTTCCGACCTGCCGGTTTCTAGCCCATCCCTGTCGCTTGGCTCTCGGTACGGACTGCCCATCCCCTGCTAAGGCTTAGCTCCAAACATGCCATTTAGTGGGTCTTTGGTCCTTCTAGAACCTATGGAGGCTCAGTGAGAAAAAGAAACGAATTAAAGGGGGTACTTTTGCAGGTACCTAGATCATCCCCTAGCTGCTCGGATCGTGTGCAAGCGAGATGAACTGGGCGGGCTGAAAGAAACCAGATGATGAATCAGGCTGTGTGACATTTCTGGACCTTACCTGTCTCGGGAAGAGCTCGGCAGAGAACAGAGCCATCTGATAACTTAATTTACAGCCGGTCGAGACTGGGAAACCTTGGCCATACCTTCCCCCGAAATGAAACACGAGCCATAAGCCATGAAAGTAAGACCCGAGGTTGAAATCGGTTCGAATCCTTTCAGGTTATGTTTCGAGTCTCCCTGGTCCTAGCACCACGTCATGTGGCAGGGATTATTGAACCACGCCAGATCGGAAGAACGGAAATTGAAAGGGCTTGAAGATTGATTGAATTCGGTCGGAAGTGGAAATCCGAGCCTTCACCCCCGTCCACCCTCTATATACTTGACGTCACATCATATCATCAACCTGGCCGGAGAGCTGGTGTCTGTACTCCAGACTTGGGCAGCCAGGCGTCTTCAATAAAATTAAGTACATGTCGAAAAAAAAAGTGCAGAAAAAAAAAGTAAAAATGGTCATCATAGCCGGAGCCGCGGGTATACAAAGCCACTCCGGCATGGTTCGTTTTCGCTTGTACCTAAGTAGTACCTAAGTACTTCCTTTGAGCCTCACGTTTTGGCACCTGGGCATACCTGATACAGGCTAGAAGCTTGAAGTGCCTTCTCTCTTCACCAAGGCCACGGGCGGAATGAAATGATGCCGCCCTCTGGCCCAATAGTATAAGGACGCCGATCCAATGACGCCAACGTACATGACGACGCCCCAATTCATAGTTTCACGAGTGACCGGCGTCGACAAGGGAAGAAGGCGAAAACGAATACCGGCAACAGGAAAGCCAGTGCTCCCACGTTGACCGCCAGACCAAACCGACCAAGTGTCCAGCGGTGAGGCGGAAGCGGTTCGCCCCGAAGACGCTTTAGAAGCACGCAACCGATCGAAATAATATATGCAGACAAAAGCGAGGTGATTGTCAGCGAAATAACCGCATTGAGAGCCAACGGAGAGCCAATGTTGATGAGAGAGAGTAAAATGGTCACCCCCAACGATACCATCACCGAGTTCAGCGGGATGTTCCATCCTGGTGTAACCTGCCAGTACAGTCAGCTGGGCCTGTTTGAAAGTGATTTTTGAAGCCTTGGACCGGCGTGCTCACGTATGCAAAGAAAGACGAAAATGGGAGTCCTTCGTCACGGGCGAAGGACCAGAGTTGTCGTGATGCGGTCGCTACTTCGGTGATCGTGCTTGCGGTGAGTGTTACCACCAGCACTGCAGTCATTGCATTTGTTGCGGCAAGACTGCCTGTCGTGTTATAGAAGATTTGAATGAAGGGAAATTCGGTCGGGCTTTCAAGGACGGCATCTACTTCGCCCAAGGTGAAGCACAGTGTCACCAACATAATGAATCCCAAGACGCCGTTTACCGCGACAGAGGACATCATGGCTCTGGGTAGTGTTTCCGACGCATCTTTAATTTCTTCGGCTACAAAATGTAAGTACAAGTTACCCTCACGAGATGGACCATTTACTCACACATATGCACCGAACAGTCGTAGCCGAGCATCGAGGTAATGGTGGTAGAAAGACCAACAAAGGTCGCTGTCGTGGCATCGCGCCAGCCACCTCCATTATGGAAAGTGGTAAACACAGCATGGGCATTATTGCGAGGCGCAAGAACCCATAGTGGAATGATAATCGCAAATAGTCCGATAACATGGACGATCAAAATAAGTCCTTCAACGAACGGGAGATTCTTGGCGAGGAAGGTGTTGAATAGAATCGAGAAAGTCGAAATAGCAATCACCAGCATTGTTCCGTGCCATCGCTGGAAATCGTATTCCGGGTGGTTGAGCACAATAAGACCCTGAATAATAGTCCCCGCGAGATAAGCGATCGAGACAATTGCGCATTGCCATCCCATTGCAGAGAGCCAACCTGACAAAGATCTTAGCATGTCATGGATTAATCTCGTAGCGTAGAGAGAGCGGAAATTCGCACATACCTGTGATATAACTAAGAAACTTTTGTCCCGTTCTTGGTGCAAATTCAGACACCCAGTGATACTGTCCGCCGGCAGTGGGAGCCCTATTTTGCGTCAGTCAGCGCGAGGAAGTAGTTTTTTGGTTAATCTCACAGGATGTCACATACATCGAGGCCATCTCAGAAATGCTGGCATATACCAAGGTGAAGCCGATGGATACACCAACAAAGCCCCATATGAGACCTGCAGTTCCGCCATCGGTCAATCCAGCGGCTAATAATCTATTATTGTTATATTATGATAAGTATGCACATCTATCGCCAAGAAATAGCCCGAAGGCGAATAGCCATGTGGAAGGGGTGACAAACGTCAAGATAACCTCCCATGTGCAGATCAGCGTGCAGCCAAACCCAACAATGGAAATAAATTTGAAATTTCTCTTTTTCCACGCGTTAGCCCTTCTATCAGATAAAAGCAATTATCAGGCAATGCTTACTCGCAGAACCTGGACTCGTCCAAGCGCACTCATATCCTTCTGGTCAGCCAACGTACCCATATATCGGGGCGCGACGTGGCCCTTCTGGGGGAAGTCCTCCAGATCAGTTAGGGTGTCCGTCATCTGCGACTCGTTCCCTGACATATAAGTATTGACCATCTTTCTGGCGTGGGGGCCAAATCCGGCCTAGACTGGACAGGTAGAAGGAGATGATCGAATGATAATCACGGAAATCGGGCCAGCAGGCAAGAATGAGAATGGCCTTTTGCAGCGCGGCTCAAGAAATTGCACGTCGCGCGACCGTCCAAGCTAGCCAGTATATGGAAAATAGAAAGGAAAGAAGGAAAGACGAGATCTCCTCAAGCCAGAAGAGAGAGTAAAAAACCAGCGAAGTCAAAGTTACTAACAAAGAGCCGTAACCCAAAATAGCAGTTCCCAGGAGAAGGACCAGCAAGCTGTGATCCTACCGGGCGCATTGGAGTAAATTCACCGGCAGGATTCGAGCGTGGTATCGACGTGGGAGCAAGGCGTGGCCAGGAGGAATTCTCGCCCGCCAGCCATGTGGGCAAAAGCCCGGGGAGAGAAGGTGCTAGCAGATTTCCAGACGATTTGCATGACACATCGGATGTTTGATTGAGATGACGAGAAGAGGGCATGTTGCACTGAGCATGGACCGCTTCGAAATTACATTTTCGTTGGGACGGAGGGCAATCGGTTCCCCCTTGAATTTTGGAAGATGTTAAAGAATGGGCGATGAAGCTATCGACTCCTTGCATGCCAAGGGGGAATATTGCATTTGTCCCTTACGAGAAGGCAACTAAGTATTATCGAACAAAATCAATGTGTGTGATGTGTTCCAGAGCCTCAATTAGTGTAGACATGCATTGACAACCTTATTGCTTTTCAAATTCTGTCTACTTTTGGTGAGATTCCACCTGGTAAACGAATTGCTTCTGCGGTATGGAGTAAGTGGATATACTTCGAAAATGAATTCGATGGCCTTGGTCCCGAGGTCCTGCACCCCGTTGGCAGGCCGCGCTTGCAAAGCAGATCCGACACCCGGCCTTGTGACCTATCACCCACGCTAATGGCAGATCCCTGCGTGAATCACGATCCCATCCCCTGATGCTTAGCCAAACGAAAACCAACACACTGCAAACTTGAACCGAACCAGCCAAGGGAGAATGCGCCGGCTAAGTGCGCCACCCCTCGCATGTTTGTCCAAAGGGGAAGAACCATATCACCCTATCGGAAAGCTGCCCAACGGACCCACGAGCACAGAGCTGGCATGCTGGTTGATGCCCAGTGTATGAATGGCGTCGGGCCGAGGGATTGGAAAGGGACCGTCATACGGTCGCAGGCGGTCTCAGACGTGAGGGGAGGCTGTTATGCCTTGTTTCAAAAGAGTAAGCTATATCAGAAAGATTGCTGGCCGGAGATACACAATCTTAGCATATCGTGCATAGTATTGCTTCTGTTTCTGGCTTTTCTTTGCTTTTTTCTATTTTTTCTTCAATCTCGACTTTTTTTTATTGTTATTTTAGTTCATTCTTGTCTAGAAAGGGATGTCTCGATGGTAATACTATGTAGTATGTCACGCTGAACTCTTCTCGGCGTGGAAAAGCATAACCAGAGTAAGTGAAGCTGGTGCTCCCTCCTCAATGGATGGAGCTTCCTGCTTCATTTTATTCCAGCGCTTCTTGAACCGGGACCAACTGAGTCTTACCAGTCGATGCCAAATCTTGATTGCGTGGTCTCTAGGAATCCCTGGTTGATCGCGCCTCTCCATTCGTTATACTAGCGGTTCGTTCGTCTTTCGTCACCAAGGATCCGAGTCGTCACACTACTAAGTGATTGCTACGCTGTATATACCTCGATTTCGAGTCGGCCTGCCCTCCCCTTCGAGTCCCGCTCTGTGCACATGGGCGTCTCTTCTCCAAACTCATGGTCCTTTTCATAAGCTCCATTCACTCATTTCCTTTCTTTATGGTACAAGTTGTTGTTCGCTCAAGTGAATCCCCGAATCCCCCACGATGGGCCCCTATGTGCCACCGGGACAGTCGCCGCCCTTTGAGGTTATTGACGAATATCACCGTGCTGCGTACATAATTATCACGACGGCACTGGGGCTGGTGATTTCGCTAGTTTGCTTTCAGATCCGGCTATATGTTCGACTATATCTAATTCCGCCTTTTGCACGAGATGATTATGTGTTATTGGGGGCGACAGTGAGTTTCGAGACAGTTGACGGATTTTTCCAATATGCATTAGCTAAAATGATCTCGCTCGCTAGATAATGGCTACATTGCAAGCTATACTGGTTTTTTACGCCTGTTCTATAGGGTTTGGTACATCGATTACTTTGCTGGACGAAAGTCGGCTGAATCAAATTCAAGCAGTAAGTAAGCTCTGTCCTGACGCAATTTTAACTCAAAAAGCTAACTCAGTTCCAACTTAGCTGGTTGCAACAAGCGATGTTTTCGCATTGATAATTCTTTACCTTTCTAAATGCTGTGTAATTGCTATTTACTTCCGACTCACTCCTCAAAAAGAACACAACAGAGCTTCCGCGGCTACGTTGGTCCTCTGCACGGCTTGGCTGATTCCAGCTTTGTTTATCCTTTTGGTCAACTGCGAGCTTAACAAACCATGGAGGTCACAAGGAGGGCAATGTCGGAATCTGGTTTGTTTCTACTTTATGACAGATATTTGATCGCGCACTAATATGGTTTTTAGTACCGACGTTGGCAGTTCATTGCTGCCGTGGACGCTATTACAGAGGTTATAATTTTCGTACTCGCCGTTGCCCTGCTGAAGGGGCTTTTTATGAATTTGAGGCGCAAGCTTACTATTGGCTTTGCTTTTATCTTTCGCTTCCCGTGAGTAACATTTATAAAATTGGGCTTATCGATACACTGACTGACGCTCTTCAATCTTTAGACTTATAGTCTTCACAGTTCTTCATATCTCGAAACTCCACGCAGCACTCGGCGAACCCGATGTTACTGTCGCAGCGATCGAACCATCACTTTGGCTTCAAGTCCAAGTTCACTACGCACTGGTCGCATGCAGCGTCTTCTGCCTTCGCCCATTCATGGCAGCCGTCAGTACAAACTATGGGACAGCAGGGGACTCCACATTGGAAAGCAGCGCTTCCAGATCTCGGGGTACAAAGGAGAGCTCAAGATCGGGATCCAACTCGGGGTCAGGATCAAATTCACATTCAGCATCAAGGTCGATGTCAATGTCGCGAATACAAAGGAAAAGGGCAGGCACGGCAGGAACACCACCTTGGTCTAGGGCGATCAATGCGATTCCACGCTCCTCGTCGAAGGAAAATCTTTGCCAGGACGGAAATACACAGAAACGGGCTCCTCCTCAAGGACGAGAACCTGCAATCCGCACACCACTACGACGGTCAATGTTTCCTCTTGATGAGCCGATTATGCCGCCACCTCCGAAGCCACAGAAAGGAAAAGAAGGAGCCAGGAGGCAAGTGCCCGATCAGGACCTTTTAGACGTCGATGCAATTGAACTCATGCCTCAACTTCAACGACAACATGGTCGCCAGCAGAGTGAGGTCATAGTCGATAGTGATGATTCTGATCGAATGGTTATTAGGAAAGAGGTCGGGTACTCAATTCAGTATGAGTATGATGATGCGCGTCGGAGAGGACAGGGCCCTTCTAAGAAGAGTTCCACTGATGCGATGGCTTATGTATAAGCCACAAGTTCGATCAAACCTACACTGCTGCGGAGTGTATGCCTAGGTACATCCATCGAGGGAAGAAGTCCAGTTTCCAATTACCTTCAAGTTCTCCAAGCCCACAAGGTTCCATACTATTAATTCACATAGAATCTCCATACCACCTAGGTACTAGTAGGTGCCAATCTGAAATTCCTGTCATATAGCAATCTACTCATATTCAAGTTCCTTGTAATACTAGTACTAGTATAATAGCATAGCGGAGTGGTAATAATACCTAGGTACTACTTGTACTAGTATATATTAGCCCAGGCCCCATTACCCAGTACTAGCCTCAAGAATTAGAGGGCTTAGCAGAGCGCAGAGAAATTGGAATAGCCGTATCATCATCAGTGACATTCCAGACCAGAGAATAAACCCCTTCACCAGCAGAAGATGACCGGATGTAAAAGCTAGAAGAGATATCACCAGAGTCATTTTCAACCATCACCCACTGACCGTAGAAAATGAATCCAGTAGTACTCTCATTGGCCATTTTCTTGGAGGTAAAGCCCATTTCGTGAGAGGAAGAAGAAGAGCTAGGGATGTATAGCATCTCATCCGACCAGCTGTAACTCGAATTGGCGCTAGCAGTGGTCACGTTCGGGTTAGCGATCCAGGAACTAGAGGAGGATGCTGAAGCGCGAGTAACTATGTTTTTTGAATGTCAGATGTAAAATCAATCACCAATTGGCAAGCAACTATGTCTCAATTCTTACAAGAAACAGGGGCGGCATCCGCGGCAGTCGAGTTGCTAGGATCACCAATCATAGCCTTGCCTGTGAAATCATTAGCCCATGCTTAATGTCTCACCACCTGGGTATTTGAAAAGGTTCGTACCTTCGGCGTAAAAAAGTGAAAGTCCACCTATGGAGGCGCCATAGGCATACAATCCAAACTCTTCATTCACATCGGGAGCATCGCGAGTGGCTAATGCAGAGGCCGAGCCAAGAAGGCTAAGCGCTGCAAACGAGATCGAGGAAATGAACATTGAGATGTGGAAAATGATGGAAGAAGATATTTGAAGAAATGAATAGTATTCAATCTATAATTGTCGGCGACCTAACGATCTTAGTAACTGTAGATTCGACCAAGTTTCATGAGTAGCACTAGAGACGCGGTATTTAAAGCGTTGGAACGTGTCGGGCCACCCGTTAGGCAATAGTCTAATAAACTCAATTTGGAGGCTTTGAGCTATCGTGGACACTATTGACCTACTACACCTTGAATGTTTATGTTCAAGTTGAATGTGCGGGAGAACTTGGTTTCCGGGCCGCGCGTTAGCTGACGTCTGTCTCGGCATGGCTGCGGGTACCTGAAGCCATCCGGCTCATCCCAGTAAGTTTTATGGGGAAAGGTAAAGCTTAGTGTCTATTTGCTCCATGGTAATAGCTTTGAGTATTAAAAGCTTGGACAGTGGTTTCAAGATGGCTGTTTCTCATGCGCTTCAAGCCCTCAACCCTGCGAATGTAGAATCAATATTGATTTATTTGATCGATAGGTACTAGTACAATGATCGACGAGTCCAATTGTTTCACGCAAGCACCTTTTGAAATATCCGGATATTTTCACTGATTCTGATGCCGCGCAATTGTACTTCCAAGCCCCGTCGGGGTAGGATCCAGACTGGTGCCGGTCCACTATTATGCATATTTGACCGGATCGGATCTGCACGATGCCAACTTTTAGATCAAAGAATCAAGTGCCCAGACAGAATAAAAATAGCCTACCAATTGACTTGTCGCCGAAGCCTCTCCGAGTGTCAACGTCAATAAGATTACGACTTCAAACTTTGCTTAGCGGTCCTCTACGCATAATGGAGGCCAATAAAAAGTAAGATATACGAAACCACATGTCTCTATCGCATTCAGCTCCACGAGTTGAGGGTCCAAAGTCAATAGTATATGGGGCACGCGACATAGAAAGGTCCTGCTGCACTGATGAATGCAACCTATCTACCTTTTATAAAGCTCTGTAGATTATTCGAAATCTCTAATTGTTTTCTGAAACCTATCATTCGCTTTCTTCTGCACAATTTCTAACTATATCGAGCCGCTCCTTATTTCCGTTTTATTTCTTGTATCTATTTTTATCTTTTTCTTACAAAGTGGTAAAGCCTTCTTCGTGCGCCATGAGATACTTCTCACTATTTGTTGCGCTCGTGGGAGTCGCCTCGGCTACATCTATGCATGGTCGTAATGTTAGTCCTTATTGGGCGCGACATGTATCTCACAGGCGCGATGCCTGTTCAGGAAATTCTGCCAGTGACAGAAAAACTTGGTGCAACTATGACTTGAGCACAAATTACTACGATGTGGTGCCAGATACTGGGGTGACTCGAGAGTACTATTTCGATATTCAAGAGGTCACAGTTGCTCCTGACGGGTACTCCCGGACAGCCATGGCAGTCAATGGGTCAATCCCCGGCCCTACAATTCAGGCTGATTGGGGCGACAAAGTTGTTGTGCATGTGACAAATAGCCTTGCCTCTGCGAAGAATGGATCGAGTATTCACTTCCATGGTATTCGTCAGAACTATACCAACCCCAATGATGGTGTTGTTTCTATCACACAGTGCCCTACAGCTCCAGGCAAGACAACAACCTACAAGTGGAGAGCCACACAGTATGGATCGACCTGGTATCATTCGCATATTGGGTTGCAAGCCTGGGAGGGTGTCTTTGGAGGCATCATCATCAATGGCCCAGCATCCGGGAATTATGACGAGGACAAAGGAATGTTATTTTTGAACGATTGGACCCACCAAACTGTTGATGAGATGTACGATTCAGCCCAGTCAAATGGACCTCCAACCCTGGACAATGGATTGATTAACGGCACCAACGTATACGGGGACGATAATTCCACAAGCCAAACGGGATATCGTTTCAACACCTCCTTCACAGCCGATACTTCGTATCGCTTCCGCTTGGTGAATGCCGCGGTTGATACGCACTTTAAATTCTCAATTGACAACCATACGCTCACTGTGATTGCCATGGATCTTGTTCCCATCGAGCCTTTCAAAACTACAGTTTTGAGCATAGCAATGGGTAAGCAAATACTAATCCTCTGCTTTCCCGGGATAGTGCTAATTGAATTACACATAGGCCAACGATACGATGTTGTTGTCAATGCAGATCAATCTACTGGGAATGAGAGCTTCTGGATGCGCGCAATTCCCCAGTCAGCATGCTCGGATAATGATAGCACGAACAACATTAAAGGAATAGTGTACTACGGCAGCAGTCCTTCGACACCTACCACAACCGCATACTCCTATACGGATAGTTGTGATGATATGGACTCGTCTGACCTCGTCCCCTACCTATCACAGAGTGCATCTTTACCGTATTACAATGCCAGTGAACCTGTCACGCTGGGATCCAATTCTGAGAATCTGTTCCGTTGGAAAATGAATGGGACCTCGATGCAGGTGTATTGGGATAATCCCACTTTGCTCCAGATTTGGAACAACGATACCTCCTTCACAAACACCAGTGGTGTGGTACACCTTCCTCGAGCCAACGAATGGTCTTATGTCGTGATCGAGACTACCCTTACTGTTCCCCACCCTATCCACCTCCACGGGCACGACTTTTTCATTCTTGCCCAGGGCACAGGAACATACAGTTCGTCGGACATAACTACTTTAACCAACCCACCTCGTCGTGACACCGCAGTGCTTCCTAGCTCGGGTTACCTTGTCGTGGCATTCAAAACTGATAACCCCGGAGCGTGGCTTATGCACTGCCATATTGGCTGGCACACCGAAGAAGGCTTCGCGATCCAGTTTCTGGAACGCTGGGAAGAAGCTCGTAAGCTAATTGACTATAGTACTCTCAACTCCACTTGTGAGAACTGGACTGCATATACGACGGAGGCAACAGTTGAGCAGGATGATGATGGAATCTGAAGTTTCAAGTTTGTATCACAAGATAGAATAGAGACATGAAAGACTCGGAGAAATTATTTGCTCGCTCATTTCCAAAACGCCGCGCCGATATCGTTTGCCGACAAGAAAAGACAAAAAAGTTCTAATTGGTCGCAATTAGAAGCCTCCGCTGGGGCGCTTGAAAGGATGGGCTTCGGTACTCCTAAAGTAAACGGTCAGCGCCTCAGAATATAATAGGTATTCGGATAGCGTAGCTTACAAGACATAGTCGTCCAAACTAATATGACTTGGCTCTGAGAATATGAGGTAGAGGTATTTGAGCGTCTCGGCGAGCCAAAAGCTTTCCATCTTGTCACTCAACTTTGGCTCGCTGTCGCGAACGTCTTCGATAGACGAATGTCCAAATTTGGTGCGTGTTGCCTTGTCAATGTTCTTGAACATGCGCCACGCGGCATCTTGCAGCGATTTGTCGCCAGTAATTCTGTACATGATGAAGATAGATTCCAGGGCTTCGGGTCTGTAGCAAATATTGTCAGTTTCATTGAAGTTTTCTCTTTCGTTAACGATCGTGTCTCACCGAAGCTTGTATGTTGAATCCCGGAGGACAGTCACACCGGCTGGGAGGCGCTCATGCTTGATCAACTTCTGTACTTGATGTCGTTCGCTGTCCGTCTTCAGCTGGTCACCCCATACGCCCTCATACCACTTGGCATCATCAAACGGGCAATTGTCCGCGTCGTCGCACGCAGCAACTTCCATTGCTTCAGGCATAATCCCGGTGGGCATGGCATCATAGGACCAGATACAACCGTCGGTTAGCTCTCGCGCGATGGACATGTCCTCGGTGCGATTGAAGACCTTCGCTGCGAGACCGACAGTGCCACCTAGGAAGCACTTCAGATGCTCTTGGAGAAATCGTTCTTTGTGGACACTGCCACCTCGATTGATTACCAGATTTGAAGTGAAGAGAATTTGCTTGTCTTGGTCCTTGAGCATGGGCCGGAATAGCATATGCTTCTTGATCGCTTCGATCGCATCGGTGTACATGTTGCGGTATTGATCCGTCTGCGCGCCGAGAAGAATATGCTCTTTTGGCAGGTATTCGTAGGCCGAGTCAGCGCATCCGCCAAGCGTGAATTCGGCATTGTCGAACCAAAGATGATCGGCGTCGACAATTGTCGGCCACAGTCCAGGTAGTCGAGTCTCTTTTTGGTTCTTTTCTAATACGTCTGTGATCCGCTGAACGGCATCGTAGTACTTTGGGTCGCCGGTCAATTGGGTGAGTCGGGTAAATTCAACCGTCAGTGAAGCCAGTTCTGCGAGATTGGTGACTTCGCCAGGTTGAATCTCCAAGTTTTGCGCCGATTCAGACCACTCCCAGCGCATTTGGGGCATCCGATTATGCGTATCGAATGCGTTGTAGATCATTTCGCCAAGCTCGACGGCCTTTTGAAGTAGGATGGGGTGTTTACCATCAGTGAGGTCGTGAGCTGCAATCATTCCCCCCATATAGCGAATAACAATTTCGAAGACGTTGACGTAGGAGCTCGGAGTTGTCGTGAAATCGACTTTTTTCAACGCCTCCAAAGCCAATTCAAATTCATCATCGAGACCCATGATGACAAGGGCATCTAAGGAATCGACGAGAGTGGCACCCCAACCACTAAATGAATCCTCATACCTGCCACTTGATGGCGAGACCTCATCCCGCATCCACGCATGGTCCTTGTATCCATTCCACGCGTGCAAAAATGTTTGTTTAATAGTTTCCCGCTTCTTGAGCCTCGCCTTGCGCTCTCTTCGCGATTCGACAGGAAAATCGTGTTGAATGCGGGGAATCGATACTGGCGATGTCGGTAGGGGGATGTAGGAGGTAACAGGAAACCTCTCTGTTGAGTTACTTATATGAATATTGTTGAGCCTATGCCATTGTTTTTCTATGGGAGTCGGCTGGGCTTTGTGAGAGTAGAGTTGGTGGAGAGGCAGCCACACAAGGAAAAAGTAGGCCACTAAAAGAAATAATATCGTTGTTGTGAGAGAGCGACCCTTGCGGTTGGATATCATAATGAAGGTGGGATAACGCTGCAAGACTGTGA